ACAGGATGTTGTGGTAGTATGTCATGTCGTTGTTCATATGGATGCATATGCCCACACACTTTTCTCATTTTCACAGATTATTCAAAACAAAAGGTAGTTGCATATTACCTCAAACTCTTTTCTTTATGATATATGTCACCATGTCATGACAATCTTGGCTTGGTCTGGTATTTTGAAAAATGCATCATGCTGTACCTGTAATATAAATGGTCATATCAGATTACATTACCTATTTCTAGACAATAGTAATAATGAGGTATGTTCGACAAACCAAATAAGATATTTTTTTCAAGTTATTTGGAGTTTCACTTTACCTACCTGCTTGTTGATCTGTTAAATTCAATTATTGTTATACCAACCTTAATCTCACAGCCTAACTACTTTTTCCCATTAGATCTTGATAGCATAACTTCTTCACAACAAGAAGTTGATTATGACATAGGAGAGAGTTCAGAAGGAATAAAGTTTTTTATCCCGAAGATCGATGACGCGCTTAAGCCAAATATGAAAGCACAATATGCGACTATAAATGAAGTCAAAAGAATGTACARGGCTTATGCGGACAACGMYGGCTTTGATGTTCGCATGCATGTAAAAAAAAGAACAAGCATGGCGAAATTCAAACTAGGTGGTTTGTCTGCAGCAGGGAGGGAAACCCAAAAAAGAAGGATTTTGATTCGTTGTACATGCAGCTGGGTGAGAGGAGATACCGTAATACAAACATCAAACGTTGTGGTTGTAATGTTTGTATAAAAATCCATTTGACGAAGGATAGGGCTTGTTACGAGATATATGAGTTCGTTGAGGCACATAACCATGCATTGTTCACTAAAAACGATCGTCGTTTCTCTCGGAAGAATAGACAGATGAAGTATACAGATTTCAAAATTGTACAAAATAGCTCGAGCTACAAAGTCAGCGCGAGGAGGGCTCATCGTATTCAGACCGCATTGAACGGTGGATTTGAGCATACTCGCATCTCTGAAATTGACTTCAAGAATTTCAAGAGGGATGCTGTTGCTTGTGTTGCGAATAAGGACGCGACRATGTTGATCAATAAATTATCAAACAGACGTGATGTTGTTCCCGGTTTTTTTTTAATACAAATGCAATGAGCAGGAGTTGAGCGCAATTTTCTGGGCGGATGAAGTTGCTAGAATTAACTACAAAGAATTCGGTGATGTCATATCGTTCGATGGTACCTTTCGCACTAACAAGTAAGATCACCAATTGCAATACAGTTCTTTACGTTGATCAACTTTGATATTTTAACGGACATATGACGTGGCTACGAATAGATACTCATATTTTTTTATTTGTATACCAGGCATGCAATGATTTTTGTTCCTTTCTTGGCTGTTGACAACCATAAGGCGTCTGTTGTTGTTGGATCCGCTCTTATGAGTGGAGAGACGATTGATAACTTTACATGGGTTCTAAAGGCCTTTCTAAAGTGTCATGTGAAGCAACCAGTGTTCGTAATTACAGACCAATGTTCTGCAATGAAGCAGGCTATTCCGAAGGTGTTCACGGAATCCAAGCATCGACTATGTATGTGGCACATTATGAAGAAAGCCTCTTCAAAGGTAAGTAGTATATATTGAATGCTATCTAATTTAATTCGGTTTTTGTGTTATTCTTTCATCTGTCGAAGCTTCGTTGACGCAGGTTAGTGTCGCCCTAAATCATGATCCTACGTTCAATAAAGTCATCAACAAGCTCATATGGAACATTCATATTGGCCCATCGGAGTTCGAGAGCCATTGGAATGAGATGATAGATAAATACAATCTAGCTGGGGATACTTGGTTTACAGAGATGTATGAAATCCGACACTCGTGGATTCCTGCCTATCACAAGGACACGCCGATGTCTGGGCTAATGAAAACAACCTCAAGATCCGAGAGTTCGATTTCGTATATCAACATATACGAATCGTACTGGTTTGATTTGGTGCAATTCCTTAATAATTACGGCGTAGCTATAGAGAAACAAAGATACAGACAATCTGTTCATGAAATAGTGACGAGAACGACTAATCCCAAGTTTGCTACTCCATTGCGTTTAGAAAGTCATGCATCAAGCATATACAGTGGAAACATGTTTTTTGACATCCAAAAGGAAATAAAGAAGGCTGTTTGGTTTTGTGCTATTGAGACCATCGAATGCCGGGATGATTTTAAGTCGTTCGTGATAAGCCACAAGGCCAAGAAATCAGCTGACAACATCACGTATCTGGTATCCTAACTCTAACTCTCAACACAATGGATTATATGATATTTAATTTTATCTTGACTGATGTTGTTGGAAACTTCTTTCATGACAGGTGGGCCGTAATTACTCAACAAACACAGTCGAATGCGATTGTAACCTATTTACACATAATGGGTATCTCTGTCGTCACGCGTTCAAGGTACTAATAAATGACGAAGTTGAATGCATTCCSGAAAAATACGTATTACGTCGATGGAAACGAGAGTTAGTTCCAGTACAGATACAGTCCACAWGAGTTCGTTATGGGGAGGTCAACGCCGAGATAGAAAAGTCTATAATTGATGTATATTCCAAGATCGACGACATAATAAGCATCGCCCGCAATGATAAATCTATATTAGATAGATTGGGGCGTAACCTCGACAAATTCATGGTTGATATAGAGAAGGAAGTTCCATACGAAGACCCATCCCAACAAAAGATGGATGCGATAAGAGATCATCTAGGTGTTTCCATACCTGATGAGGTGGACATTCTACCACCATCTGGAATAAGGTACAAAGGTTGTGGAACTGGAAAGAGGCTGGTAAGTGTATCTGAGAAAATGCAGACTAATTGCAAAAAGGCTAAACGAAAATGTGCAACGTGTGGACAACGTAGTGGTCATGACTCATGTAATTGCCCAGAATTGATAGATTAGTTAGATGTCAAGTATTTACTATTTAGAATTCTTATTGTTTCGTTCTAAWATGTCGACGTCATCGAAACATATTGTTCATGTGGCTTTATTTGTTAAACAGCTTGAACTTGATCTCAGTGTTTTGCTTGAATCCGTAGTTGATGCTATTTGTTAGTGCCATTAGTGTTATTGATACGTTATGTACATTTTATRCTGTGTTTTTTATATATCTTCTACGGTTTCATCAACTTTTCGGGGATGGAAGGATCCCCGTCTAAATGAATATACTTAATACATTGAACTACAAATTCATTAAAAGGTATGTGTTCATTATGTTTCTAACATGTAGCGCGCCCACAGAGACARTATATGAAACCTAGATGCAATTCACGATATTACACAAATATATAACATGTTCGTCACTAMAAAAATTGAACCTTACTGGAACGATCATTTTACGTAGATAACATAAAAACAGCAGACTACAGAAACACAGTTCACACTAGAAGGGCTATTGGTTTGCATGATGCATATATSACGTTTGATGTTTCATGCATATATCAAGATCTATGTAGCATTCATATACTTCTCATAAGGGTCATTATACATCTCATCATATTGTAAGTCAAATCATGAAGCAAAGTAATCAAAATTCGTGATTTTGATATATCGATGTTACGAGATAAAAATACATATATATTTAAATGGTTGTATACAAAAAATAAAGTTCAGAACGCACCTGACACGATGATACAAGTTCAGGTTACGCTAGATAGTATCAACACGTCCATCCACATTTTAAATGACATGGAAACTCACACATACCAGTTGCACTCCCACGCTTCCTCATGAGTTCAACGCTCTTGCATGTTGAATGGCACAATACGGTCYACGGAAATAGTGATCAGTTAAAACTGCCATAAGTGGTGTGAATATGTTGGTGTCAGTATATCAATATATACAAAAAGCATGTTTGTGGGAAGAATATAAGTAGTACATTATAGACATCATGTWAAAACGTAATCATATAATATGGTTACTATAACCCATTCAACTCCGGATCAAGGACCGGACAACTGGTTCTTTAAACATCGATCATGGATACTTATCGGTAAAATCGAACAATATTGGCATGTGCACACATGTCRCTGTTCATTTGAACGTGTTTAGTAAGATCAAGTGTCATGTATATCCGTTCACAAAGGAATGGAGGGTTGACCGGTTTTTGACTTTTTCTCTCTAGGGTTTGGGTTCGACTAGGGTTTTGTCATCGGATCTGCTGCTTTTGTCGTTCTTCGTGATTCGTTTTGCTYGGATCTGCTGCTTTTGTCGATCTTTATGTTCGTTTGCTGCTGCGTTGCTTTCTTGCTGTTCGAGGATTGCGTTTGTTTTGGTTCTTCCGTTGGCGTKCTTCTCCATTAGAGGTTCGACGGTGGCGGCTCCATCCTTTCAGGTTTCTTTCGTTTGTATTTTGGTTTGTGTCTTATTGCTGCTGGTTTTTATTTCGAGCCGGTTAGTCGTTTGATTTTGGGAGTAAGGTTGGGGCAGCCGGCGTTTTTTTCTGTTTGTGTGGCTAGGGTTTGCATGTTCTTAGGCCCTAGGGTTTTGCATGCATTCGTGGCTTTTGTGGGGCTGTGTCTCTATCGGTTGCTTTGGTTTTTGTTGCTGCTGTTTTCCTCTTTCATTTGTGGGGGTTGCTGCTGGTTTTTCCTTGTGGATTGGACTGCCGTTCGGCTCTCTAGAGCTCCATTTTTTGAGTTGACGGCTAGAGTTGCATGTTGTTGTCTTCACGCCTAGGGTTTTCCTGTGGGCTGGTTGTGTTTTCACTAAAGGCTTGCGTTTTTTTCCTTGTTGTTTGGGTCTTGTTCGGGTTTTGGTGCGTGGGGGTGTTTTCTTGTTTGGAGACTCTTTCTTGTTTATTTTCCCGCATCAAGTGTTTCTGTGGTCTTCGTCTCCCTTTGTTCAACTTATCGATAGAGTATTCAGCACCTTTTTTTAAAGGTCTTCGTCTACTTTATTGAGACTGTTTAACAAGGGATTCAGCGCCACGACTTCTTGATTCTGGGTAAAGTAAACTGGGTCTTCTTCTTTGGTTAGGATGACTGACTTTGCGGATGTTATTTTGATGAATGATGGCCCTCGGGACTTTGCTGATGTAATCTTGGATGAGACGGACGAATCTTTTCAGAAGAAGGTCGGAGTTATTCCTGGTTCGTCTTCTAGGGTGTCGGTTTGGGATCGCCTTTCCCCAGTGGTTAGGGGTGATCGTTGTGTGGTGCCTACTAAGTCCTTTGCTGAGATTGTGGGTGGTRCTTCCTCATCAGATCTTACGTATTATCCTGTTGAGAAGAGTGTAAAACCGAGGATCAGTTTTCCCTTGGACGTTACAAAAGGTATGGCTAAATCCTTT